TCCCTGTAGCCCCAGCTGTCCTGGAACTCACTATGTAGACCAGGCTGGCCTGGAACTCACAGAGATCTGCCTGCCTCTGCCTCCCAAGTGCTGGGACTACAGGCGTGTGCCACCACGCCCGGCTATAGATAATCTTAATGTTACATTATATTTGAGATAATTGTTCATCTATGATTTAAATTAAAAGTGTAACTAAATACTTATCAAATGATTAACATATTTACTACAAAGGTAAACAAGTAGCATAAATAAATAAAGTCAAATGCCAAAATTTTAGCTTTTGAATGCCTCAAACTCTAATGAGGAGTGAATGCTTTTTAGCAAATATTTTCAAAGTGCCTATTATAATTACATATTTAATAATTAGTTGTTTATAAAAAATACTATTTTTATATTCAAAAACTTTGTTTCTTTAAAAAAATGCACTTGTTACAATTTTTAAAGTTTGGTAGGTAAAATGAGATTTCTCAAATAAACATACTGAACAGCAAACTCATTTTAAAATGCTAAAAAAGGGGCTGGAGAGATGGTTCGGTGGTTAAGAGCACTGACTGCTCTTTCAGAGGACCCAGGTTTGATTCGCAGCACCCACATGGTGGCTATGAACTGTCCTTAACTCCAGTTCTAGGGAAACCCTCTTCTGACAGCTGCAGCATTGGCACAACATGGGTGCACTCAACATACATGCAGGCAACACACTCATACACATAAAGTAATATATATATATATATATATATATATATGCTCAAAAAAGTGAACATCCATTGATATTCCTTCAACTTTGAAAAGGTATGTCATCCTCAGATAGTTGAGGTTATTAATATCAAGGTTATTAAGGCTTCCTTAATCATTCATATTTATAGCTCCATTCATCCACCTAAGACTGAAGGAAAATTAGGTAGTCCAATGAAGAAACAAGTACTTGTTTTTGATTGATATCCTGGTTGAACCCCCAAATTTTGTGCTTGAGATGTTGAGTTTATTACCAATGGTCGTTGACTTGTTTGCCCAAATAAACTTCTGTTTTTACCTGTTTTTTTTTTTTTTTCCTTTTTGGTCTTTTTGAGACAGGGTCTCCCTGTAGCCCAGGCTGGCCTGGATTCGCTATGGAGACCAGGCTGGCCTCGAACTCGAGAGATCTGCCTGCCTCTGCCTCCCGAGTGCTGAGATTAAAGCCGTGCGCCACCACACCCGCCTACCTGTTTTTTGTAAAGGTGAATCTAAGCTTTTTGTGTCCTGGTGCCACAAGAGGTAACAGGGTAGATGAACTCAAAGAAGTCAGGCAGGATTCTGCTTATAGAGCAGCCAATCCCCAGATACAACTCATAAAACGAGGAACAGCTCATCCACAAAAGGTACTCTTCTAACTTTGACAAGGAGCCAGAATTCAGAACATTCTACAAGCAAGTTTTCATTGGCATAAATCAGCACACAAAACCCAAGGAGCACCCCCAGCAAGACAGCCTCATGGTTTCAGTTCACAAAGCAGAGGGAAACAGGAAACCAGATATAGCCTATTAATATGTTTTACCTGTATTATTGTTAGATATTTAAGATAATCATGTTTTCTATGTTTTAGATATAGCCTACTGGATTTTCATTTAAAATTATCTTATTAAAATTTCTCTAAATTTTCTATTAAAAGAAAACAATGATGGGGCTGGAGAGATGGCCCAGTGGTTAAGAGTACTGACTGCTCTTGCAGAGGACCCAGGTTCAGTTCCCAGCATCCACATGGCAGCTACAAACTCTCCTTAACTCCAGTTCCAGGGGACTCTGACCCCCTCTTCTGACCTCTGCGGCATTGCACGACACGGGTGCACTCACATACATGCAGGAAGTACCCTCATACACATAAAATAAAAATAATAAATATTAAATAAAAACAAGGTTAAAAAGAGATCGAAAGGTTAGAGGTCTGAGATAACATTTTGGGCAAAGGAAAGTTTTTAAAAAAATGCTTTTGGATTAAAAGGAGTTATTCCGAAATAGATGAAAATAATGTTAAGAGATTAAAGTATGTTGTAGAAAGATTAAGAAAATAGAGCTTAAAATAGGATTATATAATTAAGTTGATTATAGTATAAAGGTTATTAAATGTTTAAGGTCAAATTAATGCTTGATTCTCTGTTTGCAACAATAATCCAAAAAAGTTTTTCTTAAGTATTAATTGGCTTGGATTACTGAAAATTCAGAATTAGTTGCAGCATCTTCCTTGAAGGATAAAGAAAACCAGAGGATTTCATCAATGAAAAAAAAAACATCACATCAAACACTCCATTCAACTGGAGAGAACAGACTGTATCCAGGTACTGCTAATTTGCTCCTATACTACAAAATTCAAGGAGATGAATTTTAAGTCTCATGTGCCAACTTCATCTAAGAACTCATCCATGTGGACATCAGAGATGCTAGATGGGACTCATCTTCAGTTAACTGACAATCCAGTACCCCCAAGTAACTGAACATTTCTCTCATTGTTGTTCCTTAACCTCTTTTGTAGTTAGCTATTTTAAACAGTTTTAATATTTAATATTTCACTTGGTATATTCCTAAATAATAAAAAAATGCTATTTTTGGTTTGAATTGCTATAAACAATGATGTTATTTCCTTTCATTAATTATGTTTTTTTCATAATTATTTGCCTACCCAAAACCCCTACATTAACTAGTTTTCATGTTTAAAAGATTCAAGTGTTTTCACTCTTTATAAAAATTCAGTACAATTTGAATAAAAAGTCAGCTTTCAAATTCTTTTTTTTTTTTTTTTTTTTTGGTGTTTTTGAGACAGGGTCTCCCTGTAGTCCCAGCTGTCCTGGAACTCACTATGTAGACCAGGCTGGCTTTGAACTCACAGAGATCCGCCTGCCTCTGCCTCCCAGGTGCTGGGATTAAAGGCGTGCACCACCACGCCTGGTTCAAATTCTTTTTGAGACAGGGTCTCCCTGTAGCCTCAGCTGGCCTGGAATTGGGATTAAAGGCGTGCGCCACCACTCCTGGCCTGTTTCCATTTCTAATGATTAAAATTTTTAAAAAGTATTTGGTTAGGGACTGGCTGTGGTGGTGCCAGCCTTTAATCTCAGCACTCAGGAGGTAGAGGTGGGCAGATCTGTGTAAATTCAAGGTCAGCCTGGTCTATGTAGTACCAGGCCAGCTGGGGCTATAGGAAGACTCTGTCAAAAAAAAAAAAGCATTTGGTTATGTCTTCAAGGCCTATAAAATATCCAGTTTTCTAACAGGTTTAACCTCTTGTTTCTATTAATGCTATTAATATTTGTTATATAAGTAAAGACATTCTTGTTAGAAGAACATTTAAAGAATATTGTGTTGTTGTATAATTTCTTCTAGGTTTCATTTATTTTTCCAAACTAAATCTGGTTTGATACCAATATAATAAAACAAAAAAAGTCATTATCCACAGATAAGAGCTACTAGAGTTAGAGTTAGCAGAGGCAGGCAGATCTCTGTGAGATCAAAGCCAGGCTGGTCTACATAGTGAGTTCCAAGCCAGCTTGGGCTACAGAGAGACCCTGTCTCAAAAAGATTAAAAAAGCCGGGCGTGGTGGCGCTTGCCTTTAATCCCAGCACTTGGGAGGCAGAGGCAGGTGGATCTCTGTGAGTTCAAGGCCAGCCTGGTCTACATAGTGAGTTCCAGGACAGCTGGGGCTACAGCGAGACCCTGTCTCAAAAACACCAAAAAAAAAAAAAAAAAATTAATGAAACAGTTACCACGTTGGAACATGGAATTTGGGGAAACCTGAATCTGTGTTCCTGGGCAGTGGTCACTCATATTTGGCCCCAGAATAAACTACTTCTTATCCCCTTTGAGGTGAGAGTTATGCTTTTGTATGACAACCCTGAAGGAACTGTGGACTAGGCCCTGGGTCCCTAGACCAGGCCATTTGGAGCTAGAAACCTGGCAGCCCAAAATGGGTCCTTGCCAGATCTGCCGACTGGAGAGCCAAGAAATGAGTCCGCAGTCAGGCAGGCAGCGCCTCTGCCCTCCCTGCCCTCCCCGCCTCCAGTAGAGAGCACCCTCAGTCCTGGGCTTGGGATGATTGGAATGACAGTACCTCAGTGTTCACACAAGGGCACTCACCCACAGAGCACCCTGTGGTAATTTAAGGACTTTTTTCCCCACTGGGAGGGGCCTGTAGCCTTCTCACCAAATAGGCCTGTGGGGTACAGGGGCAAGACTGCCTTAGAGGCAGCTCAGTTCCCACTCCACCACAGACTTCCTCTGACACTCAGAGACCCACGGGAGCCCCATAGGTGGCCTCCAACTATGACCGGTACTGGACAGTCACACCTAAGCTAGAGGGGCAGGGCCCAGATCACAGGCCAGACGACTTCAGCTCACAAGCCCTCCTGACTAGCTCCCCTCTCCCTTCGAGGCTAGTGAATGTGCCCTGCATTGAGAAACTGCAGCCTGCCTATCCTGATGTTAGGACGGGTTGACAAACCCTGAGTTGAGGGTCCCAGGCTTGGGGGCCTTCATGGCCCACCCTGGCATTAGGGACTCAGGAAAGCCACCAGGGGGTCTGCATCAGGCTTGTTTCCTCTTCAGTGGAAGCTCAGGGAGGGAGCCCTGAGGATATAAACCTCCCAAGTAATAGCACTGGGGCTTGGGCTGGGACTGGGCTGCCCTTGTCCCTGGGCTCCTCTTCCTGGGCTGTGACTATGGAGCCTGCCAGGAAGGCACCAGTCTCAGGTCTGTACTGTGCACTTGAACCACAAGCAGATTCATGCTTGCTCCCTCATCTGTGTCTCAGACAGAGAAGGGATTAGCAACAAACACCACCTCCCGCTCCCGGTTGGACTAGGTCTATCCAGAGGGCATCAGGGCTGGGATCCGGCCAATTTCTGGCACAGCCCCGCCCCGCAGGCCCTGCATCCAGGACTGGGCTGGGACCCAGGGTCTGAGCTGCAGCCTCTGAACATCCGGCTTGTCACGTGCCAAAGGTCTTGCAGCTGAAGACTCCAGCCCCTCATTCTCACACAGGGTCCTGGGGCTGAGATGACAGGACAAGAATGTGCTAACGAGGCAGGTCCTCTGCTGGTCCACACAGGTACCTGTGGACTTTGAGAGGGGACTAAGAACTGAGGAGAGGAGGGGAGAGGGAAGGGGATGAGAAGGGTGGTGCTGGGAGGGAAAGGAGGCGGGGCCAAGGAAAACACTGAGTGAGCCTGTCCCGCAACCTCTGAGCCACTGAGCTCCCTGCTGGCAGCATACACAGGCTGCACCATGAAGCTTGCCGTCTGGCCTTGGATCTTGATGCTGCTAGCGACAGTCCCCGGCCAAGGGCCCAGGCCCATAGCAGGTATGCGTCCCACCCTGCCCTTCTAACTCCCTATCTGTTCATCGGCCAGGCCCGGAGCAGACCCCCTCAGGGCTCAGCGTCTGTCCATCTGGCAGACCATCTGTGCCTATGCTAGGTGGTAGTAGGAAGAAATTCTGAGACTCCAAGATGGATGGAGAGGCCTCTGGCAGAGATGGGACCCTGCTCCTGTCACAGAGATGGGAGGGCTGAGTCAGGGCCACCCTGTACTTACTGGGTGCTGGAAGGCTACAGTTGCCTGGGAGGGAAGCAGGAGAGCTCAGAAGAGCCCTTGGCCTACACCTCAAGCCCCAGTAAGGGTTTAATTATATGGGCAACCCCCAGCCTCCTGTCCAACCTTAGGCAGAATTGCTGGTCCTTATCAGGATGCAGCTGAACCAAAAAAGTCTAGCAAGCAGCAAAGCTCCTGAGGCCTGGCCTGGCCTGGCCCTAGGCAGAGCTGGAAGTCACCAGCACACAGTTCCCTGCTTTACCCCACTTCCATTGCAGGGAAGTGTCACCACCCTCTTGCAACCTTTTTTTTTTTTTTTTTTTTTTCGGTCTTTTTGAGATAGGGTCTCCCTGTAGCCCCAGCTGGCCTGGACTCACTATGTAGACCAGGCTAGCCTTGATCTAACAGAGATCCACCTGTCTCTGCTTCCTTACCATACCCAGCGTTTATGTAACCCAGGCTTTTTTTTTCTTTTTTGGACTGGGTCTCCCTAGTACCAGCCTACCTAAAAGTCAGGATGTGGACCAGGTAGGCCTCTATCTCACAGAGACCCACCTACCTCTGCCTCCCAGAGACCTGGGATTAAAGGCATGTGCTACCACCACACCCAGACCTCCTGCTACTTTTTATCTCATGGCATCTTGAAACCTTTTCCCCACACCCCTTGAAGTCATCACAACCTTAGCCAATAAATATTTATTGCTGTTCTTGAGTGCAGGCACTGCACTTAGTGAAGTGGGGCTGGTGGCTCCAACCCAGGCCTGGCCCCTGATGGGCCTCCTTCAGCAAGGGGTTGAGAAAGGACCAGGTGGGAGGTGTGATCTGGCCTGGGTGATCCTCACCCCACCCCAGTCTCCACCTTACAGCTCTGGGTCTGAAATATAGCCCTGTCACCAGCCTCCATGGCCCACAGAGGAAGGCTTAGATATGATCCACAGTGGTGCACTTCTGACTACGCTCTACTAGAATCCTCACTGGAAATGTGCTTCCTGTCCCTTAAAAGAAAGGAGCACCCCTGGCTGCCTTCTCAGAGGGTGGTGTTCCCTACGATTCAATTGTTACCCCTAACAGAAAGAGCTAGGACAGGCTCAGCCTAGACACCATTCCCTCCTGGATCTTGAATGGGATTCTCAATAACCTGACCCCAGCCTATGCAAACAAGAAGAGTTCTTTTCCAGCAGTGAGAACTCCAGGATAGCCATTCCCTTATCCGTGCTAAGATGGACCCCAGCCCATGGCACCAGTGGCTTTCCCTTGTGTCATTTGGTACCAGAGCAATTCCTGGCCAGAATCTGCAGATGTTTCTCTCTTACGGACTCCAGGGAAAACAGGCCCTGTGTATGGAGTGGTTGGCCCAGTACATGTGGATGCCAGGGGCTCAGGACTTTCTTCTCCAGGTGCCCAGGGGAGCTGCTCTCTGCGCTGTGGGGAACAGGATGGACCCTGCTCCTGTCACCCAACCTGCTCGGGCCTCAGCACCTGTTGTAAAGACTTCCAGGAGTACTGCCTAGAGATTTCACCCTCTTCAGGCTCCATGATGGGTGGCAAGGACTTTGTGGTGCAGCATTTAAACTGGTTTCAACCCACGGATGGTGTCATTTGCAGGTGGGAAGACATGAGGGGCTGGGCTACCAGGGCTCCCACACTCTCAACCCCATGCAGAGGGAGCCCAGACCTACCAGGTGGGTAGGTGGAACCATGGGATCAAGGATAGGCAGGAGGGCACAGAAACAGCTGACTGACCCTGTCCCCCGAGGAGATCATGGTATGGGCCTTCAACACTCTCAGCTCACACTGGCCCAGCCTACCCTACCATCTCTGTCCCTCAGGTTTAAGGAGAGTGTCCAGACCCTTGGCTATGTTGACTCCTCTGGGCAGGTGCACTGTGTGTCTCCCTTGCTCTATGAGAGTGGCCGAATTCCTTTCACTGTCTCCATGGACAATGGCCGTTCCTTCTCTCGGTCAGGCACCTGGATAGCTGGTGAGCTCTCACCCTACCAAACTGGTTTAGGCTGTGAGCCCTAGATCCCAACCTCCGTGGGCTTAGTTTCCATCAGCAGCCTGAACCCGTGGAACTTTCCCTAGCACTAATCTATGTACACTGAGACCTGACCCAGTCTGTCTACCTGTCACTCTGACTGAACCAATCCCTTGGGCAGGGGTTCCTGCCACTCTAGTATCTGGACTAGTTGGGTCCCACAGGGAGTTGGAGCTGTGGGGTCCCCAGCAAGGTGGTTCAGACAAAGGCCTGGCCCCTGGTGGGCCTCCTTCAGCAAAGGGCTGGGGAAGGGCCAAGTGAGAGGTTTTTATCTTACCTGGGTCCTCAGCTCTACAGACCAGGCCACCAGCCCTCCTGGCCATGTTGTCCTTTCCTGCCATAAGGCCCTGAGGAAGGCCACCACCTAGCTACTTTCAGTGCTTTGTCTGACAGGTCCTCACAACCCTTAGATCCCCTATGTCTCTTTGTGTGCCACCTGGGCCCTAAGTCTTCACTCATCCCTCACTTACCCCCACAGCACACCCGTACAAAGTGTCAGAGTCTGAGAAGAGCCAGCTGGTGAATGAGACCCACTGGCAATATTACGGCACCTCAGACAGCATGGGGAACCTCAGCCTCACTTGGAACACCTCGGTGCTGCCTACACCAACTGTCACCATTGAGCTGTGGGGCTATGATGAGACAGGTAGGGCTTGCCAAAGGCTGGTGCAGGCATCAGGAACTTTGTGCTCCCAGAGATGAGAAAAGTCCCGGGCGTGTCGGGGAGGAGGGAAAGGGGAAGAGGATTTGTAGGCAGAAAAGTAAGAAAGGGGATTTCAGATTGGGGACTAAGGAGGGTCTCACGGCTTGAAGAAGGGAATGAGTATGCTGGTGGGCAGGGGCATGGTGGGCCCCATATCCAGTAGGTGTCTTAAATGCTGTAACCTTTGGACAGGTGGCATGTGCTAGGGACAGAAGAAGCCAGCTTTACCCCATCTTCTCTGAGCCTGGCATGCCCTTTTATAGGAACCACCTGGCTGTCCATTTGCCTTCTGTCTCCCATGCCTTCAGTGCCAGTGACTTGGGCAAGGGGTCTTTGTAGCGATCACCAAAATCTTCTGTCTCTCTCTCTAGGGGAGCCCTACTCTGAGAAGTGGACAGCAAAGTGGTCCTATCTGTATCCTTTGGCCACAAACATCCCCAACTCTGGCTTCTTCACTTTTACTCCAAAGCCTGCACCTCTTGCCTACCAGAGGTGGAAAGTGGGCGCTCTGAGGATCATTAGCAGCAAGAACTATGCAGGGGAGCAGTAAGGACAGAGGATGGGCTGGGCCATCTGCATGGAGACTGCAGAGCTTGCTGGGGAAGCCCTAGGGGTTGGGCGCTTGGCAGACAGCCCTTAGCTGATGCATCTTTACTGCCGCAGAGATGTACTGGCGCTCTGGACCAATGATCACGCACTGGCCTGGCACCTGGGTGATGATTTCCGAGCAGACTCTGTGACCTGGGCCCGAGCACAGTGTCTGGCCTGGGAGGCACAAGAAGATCAGTTGCCCAACTTCCTGACAGAGTTGCCTGACTGTCCCTGCACCCTGGCCCAGGCCCGGGCTGACTCTGGCCGCTTCTTCGTAAGCCCCTGAACTGATTAGGGCCCCAGAGATGGGGAGGAGGACAGGAAGGGTTAGACTCCCCAACTGTGGTAGCCACCAGGAGGTAGAGTGGAATCTTAAGGTCCGCTGGGGGTTGGTTCCTAGGGAGGGAAGGGATGCAGAGCCCCAGTGACAATCTCTGGCCACTCTACAGACTGACTATGGTTGTGATATTGAGCACGGCAGCGTTTGCACCTACCACCCAGGGGCTGTGCACTGTGTGCGCTCCGTGCAGGCCAGGTGAGCTACCGAACCAGGGACGGGGTCGGGCAGGGGTTGGGGTTAGCTGACAACAGTGGCTCTGACCTGCTCTTGCCCCCAGCCCCAGGTATGGCTCAGGCCAACAATGCTGCTACACAGAAGCAGGCACGCAGCTCCTGACTTCAGATTCGACAAGTGGCAGCACCCCTGACCGTGGCCATGACTGGGGTGCACCCCCATACCGCACCCCTCCCAGGGTACCCAGCATGTCCCACTGGCTTTATGACGTCATCAGCTTCTACTACTGTTGCCTCTGGGCACCTGAGTGCCACCGCTATATGAAGCGGCGGCCTTCCAGTGACTGCCGCAGCTACAAGCCCCCACGCCTGGGTGGGTGCCAGCTTGCATGCCTGCCCACAGAGAGAGGATCAGGCCAAGGTGGGAAAACCCAGGGAAAGTCACCTGACCATCCTCTCTCACCCCAGCTTCTGCCTTTGGGGATCCCCACTTTGTCACCTTTGATGGCACCAGCTTCTCATTCAGTGGGCATGGCGAGTATGTGCTGCTGGAGGCGTCACTGACTGACCTGAGGGTGCAGGGACGGGCCCAGCCTGGGACAATGCCCAATGGTGAGGCCGGACCCCCTATTCTCTGGAATGAAGCGCTACTGGGTCATCCAGGGTAGCGGGCAAGAGCTAAGAGGACTCCATTCTGCAACCCACTACCTAGGTACCCAGGCACATGGCACAGGGCTGACTGCGGTGGCTGTCCAAGAAGACACCTCAGATATACTAGAGGTGCGGTTAGCTGGCTGGCGTGGGGCCCTGGAAGTGTTGCTGAATCATGAAGCACTCAGCTTCACTGAGCAGAATTGGATGGACCTAAAGGGTGAGTGGCATGCATGGCCAAGCACAGTCAGCAGGTAGCCTGGGGGAAAGGCTGTGGGGATTGGGGGCGGGGGGCTTTATGCTGTCCCCAGGCCCTGACTATAGGTTAAGATGAGATCTGGGGCTCAAATACAAAGGCAAAGATTTCTCAGGGCTTGGAGAGGCCCATGCCAGCACGGCCAGTTGGGGGAATCTGGGCCCTGCTTGTAACTGTCCTGGGTCAAAGAATCAGGGATCCAGCCTAAGGCCTGCTCTCACACCTTCAGACACATGGGAATGCCTGCTACAACTACAGGGCCTGCTGAGACCCTGAGAGGCCAGGACTATGGGACAGTCCTCTGTATGACCCATAGGAGTCCAGAGGCCATCCCAATGGGACTCATTCCTATGCTATGGTCATTCCAAAAACTACTACAAGGACACTACAAGGACAGCAGCCCTGCAGATTTAAGGACACAGGACAGAAGTGGCAACCAGGAGCTACAGCACCTGACTTGCCACCAGGCTGTGGACCTAAGCAAATGAAATGACTCCTGGTTGCGATGGATGGGGACTTCATATACAAGGACCTTCAGGGACAGTGCAGGCAGGCCAGGCTAGTGTAGTCCCATCAAGGAATGACTCCCACATGCAGCCTCAGCTTTGGGAGAGTGGGAAGATCTTGGGGCCATCTAGGTGGGCTGGGAGCAGTAGCATGTCATAGATCAGTCTTAGGACATTTCCCTATTTCCCTACAGGTGCCCACCACCCCACCCTGGGACTTTGTCAAGGGCTGAGGGACAAAACACAGGGTGCAAGGGAGTAACTCTAGCTCATTCTGCCTGTGGCTAGGCATGTTCCTGTCAGTGGCCTCTGAGGATAAAGTGTCAATCATGCTGTCATCGGGGGCTGGCCTAGAGGTCAGTGTACAAGGCCCTTTCCTGAGTTTGGCCATCCTGCTACCTCAGAAGTTCCTGACCCACACCCACGGTCTTCTCGGGACACTCAATGATAACCCCTCTGACGACTTTACCCTGCGGAATGGGCAAGTCCTGCCTGTGAATGCCAGCGCTCAGCAGGTGTTCCAGTTTGGAGCCAATTGTGAGTGCTTGTGGAACAAGCAGGGCAGGGAGGGTGAACAGGGATCAGACAGGGTGAGGGTGGATCGAGGAGAGAATCTTGGCTGTGGCAGGGCTCTGTACCCACACAGGACTGACACCTGTCTCCCCAGGGACCGTGTACAACACCTCTTCTTTGTTCACATATGACTCTGAGTTTTTGCTCCACAACTACGTGAACCAACCCAAGCATGACCCCAACTTCAAGCCCCTCTTCCCCAATGAGATCACACTCAGCCCCAGCCAGTCAGAAGAAGTGACCAGACTATGTGAGGGTGACCCTTTCTGCATGCTCGATGTAATGAGCACAGGGAGCTTAAGTGTGGGCAATTCCACACGGTTTGCCCACCAACTGCACCAGGATCGCCTGAGGAACCTCCAGCCCGGTAAGGTTGGGGAAGCATGGTTAGTGCCTCCCAGACTGTCCAGCCTCATGGAGTGGCCAGTGACTCAAGCCTGTCCTCTGTGCTCTGCCCCCACTTCAGTGGTATCCTGTGGCTGGCTGTCCCCCCCTTCCAATGGACACAAGGAGGGCTTGAAGTACCTGGCGGGCTCTGTTATCCGCTTCGGCTGCAACAGTGGCTACAGCTTGGCCGGGGCAGAGATTAGCACCTGCCTGGCTGATGGCACCTGGTCTGCACCTACCCCAGAGTGCCAGTCAGGTGAGCACCTCCTCCCATAAGCCCTCTTGACTCTGCACGCCCACATGCCTTTGCCCTTACCACTCTCACTCCTGCCAGGACGGAACTACACTGTGTTGCTGAGCATCATCTTCGGAGGCCTGGCCATAGTGGCACTGGTCACTGTCATCTATGTGTTGCTGAGCCGCCACAGGAAAGGCAATGTGTGAGTCCCTACCCAGGGGAGAGCCCCACCCACGGACCCCCACCTCTGCCTCTCTTTAGCTTTCTTAGGACCTTGAAGCAGTTAGTGGGACCCCTGTGCTACTCCAAACCATATCTCTGTTGCAGAAGCGTGTGGCGTTCACAGCCTTGAGACAAGAGCATGCTTGGCCAGCATTGTGAGGCCATGTGAGGGCCAAGACCCAGGCAGCCTCCCAGGAGAAGCACATATAACATGCACCCTAGTCCTGTGAGTCCCACATCTGCACCTTCAACACTGTGGACTCCATACTGGTGCCTCATCAGTTACTTCTGACTAAGACATGATGCCAGATGTTTAACTCCCAAATCTCGCCCTCCCTCATGCCCGCCATCAATAATCTGTGCTCTGTTCATCTGTTACTTGTGGCTCTAATTCCCCAGACCTGAGGAGTGGTCTGCCTGGCCTGCTCTGGAACTGAAGTACCCATGTCCCAAGCCCTAATACTCTTACATTGGAAACTTCCATTCCAGTCTCTCACTCCCCAAAGTCTGATAGACAGAGGCTGATGCCTGGCCTCCTGTGAATGTCCCAGAGCTGAACTGTCTTGGTTGCCACACCACCACCCAACTTGAGAACCCAGCTGGACCCAGCCTGAGGGTGAGGAGAGGCCTTGTCTGAGCAGAGAGCAAATCCTTCAGCAGAGACAAGGCCACCCTTGCCACTCCAGACTTGTATTTCTACATCTTCTGGACCTGGCTCAGGAACACCCTTCCCTGCCTGTACAAGAAGAAAACAAGTTCACAATACCTCTTTCCTGGTGTGCCTGCTGCTCATGCCACATTACGCTTCTGGGATGTTCGACAGCTTCCCTATGAGGTCACCCACTAATAGCATCAGGCTCCAAGTCCTGCTTGCTTCCTCCACTCCCAGCTCACCTGGCATGGACCCCAGCTTTCCCAGGAGGAGATCAAGGATACTGATGGATAGAGCAGGAAGAGTGATGTTTGCAAAGGGCTTAACAGGGGTTGTCACTTTGGGTGCTCAGGAGAGAGACAGGTGCTATCTGACCACATCCCTGCAAACCAGGCGCCTGAGCATCACCATGATGGCGGTGGTTGCTATTGTCTGTGTTGCTACACTACAGGAAGGGTAACGTCCTACCCTGGTGTTCCCTGAGAAAAGATGCCAGCTGGCACCACCTGCCTGCACCCCCAGCCCTGCCCTCGGCACTGCCTTTAAGTGACAGATCTTTGGGGACAGTCACTGGTAGGGCCATGCCCAACTTCTCAGATGACCAGGACCCATGCTCCTCAGCACAGATGTCCAGAAGCTAGGTACAGACTAAGCCTCATGTTACTTGCCCTGCTCACCCTTACCTGCCCTCCTCTCGGCCTAGGCATTAAGGGAAAGCCAAGGAAGCACAGACTAGGAGCACCCGAAGGTCAAGCAGGGCCCAAAGACCTCCAAGGTGGGAAAGGCCACTGAATGAGGGATGTAAAGGGCCTAGGCAGAGTAGGGAAATGTCAGGTTTGCATCTTAGATCTCAGACCAAAAAAATGTGGCAGACCCATGGAGAACCTGGATGGGAAGTTCTTTAAGGCACTAGTGAATTTAGTGATCTGCAATTCCTGGAGCAGGCACACGAGGGTAGCAGAGGGCGGGAACAGCCCGTGCTGGCAGCTAGGGACGCTCCAAGTCCTAGGTGGCTGGGAAGGACAGTCAGCCCCTGTAGCTTGGTCACACTCAAGGCCAAGGCCCCTGCACATTCTATACCCTATATCCCTTTACCTGAGAGGACCGTTTGGACACTGTCCAGTCTCAGGAGTCTCAGAAAGCTTGTACCTGTTATCCAGCTGGCACCGGCTGAGGAGCCTAGCCCTACAGCCTTGCTCTTGGCCAAAAGTCCTGGCCAGACTTGGAAGAGCTGAGTGGCAGTGGAAGGTTCCATTTGAGGGTGTTCTGGAGGAACTGTATGATGGGGTGACCAGCATGATGTGGGTTAGTGGCTGGGAGCTGGAGATCCGGGAAGATGGAGAGCCTAGAAGTCTAGAGAGGGTAACCTTGTGGGTCTGTCTTCCCATCTCCACCTCCTTCATTGGGTTTGCAGGTCAGGATAGGGTGGGGCTGAGGACTCTGCCTTGGCTACTGGGCTGGTACTTTCCTCTCTGCAGATGAGGTAAAGTAGGGCTCGCCTCCCACTGCCTGAGTTCCCACAGGGTCTCTGAGCCAAGCTAAACCAGGCCAACCACTTAGTGGGGAGGTTAGCTTCTTGGTCAAGGCCAGGATACATGGGAATGGGGAGGTAGGGGGAGCGGGTCCCAGGAGGGTAGGAACAGCTACATGCCTCTGCAGGTCTAGCCCAATGTCTAGGCAATATCCACACCAAGATCACAAGGTTGTAAGTTGGGTATAGCAATATACTTGTAGTCCTAGCTACTCAAGAAGCTAAAGCACGAGGATTGCTTGAGCTCTGAGTTTGGGGCCAGCCTGTGCACCATGAATGAGGTCCCATCTCTTGAAAAAAGATAAGTTGGATCCTCAGAACTGGCCAGGGGTCATTCGGGTAACAAGAATAGCCTGAGCAAAGGCTCACAGGGAGAAATGGGTAGTCAAAGTCCTGTCTGAGGAACAGTGAGGGTATGTGGGGGACCAGCCAAGGTGGCTCTCTTGCCAGGACCAAAGTATTGAGACTTCATCCTGAGTAAACCATGCCTACTTCAGGCTTTCCCACTGCAACCCGTCTCCAGGATGGGCCCTGAATCTGCCCAGATACATCTCAAGAAAGAGGTGCCTGACCCCAAACAGCTGATATTCTTAGTGCCAGGGACAAGCCAGACTGGGAAGCCCCACCACCTGACAGGGACTTTCCCAGGGGTCTAGAGAAGACAGGTGCTGCTGGGCCTGTGTGAAGGTAGAAAGTACCATGGCAGACACGGACCCTCTGGAGACCTTAGCCTTGGAGAGGTGTCTATCAAACAGCAGCCCGAAGGCTTGCAAGAGGGCATAAACACTGCAAGTTTATGGACAGCCTACCTCAGGCTAGAGTGATAGAATAGCCAAATACCGGAACCCAGTGGACTGCTCTCCAGGGCTTGTACCCATAGACGAGGGTAAAACAGTAATCCAGGGACTTGGAAAGAGATGATGGGAGAATCAGGATCCAACAGGAGCCAGTGAAGCACCCACAAGATCCTACCGCCACCGCTGGGCAGAGGGATAAAGGAAATGTGTGCCCCTGGGGCCCAGGTCCCCATGGAAGCCAGAATTGCGCAGGCCTTGTAGGTCTGCCCAGGGAGAGTAACAGACCCAAAGTGCCACTGCAGACTCTGGCCACTGAAGCAGAGGGAAGTACTTACTTCTGTTCTCCAGCCTCCCACTAGAGCCTCTTTCTGGATGAGAACAGTTGGGAGGAGACACAATGGAGAACCATGGGACCCCCTCCCCTTCTGTCAGGATGATTCCCTCAGAAAGCCCCGAGTGACTGAGGGTCACTTGGAGGCCAGACTTCTACTAGACTTGCTAGAGAGCCCCTGTCCTCACGTCTATTGCTATCTGGGGACAAGTAGATCTCAGCACATGTGGGTCTAGGAAGTCAGAAGTTGGAGGTGCCTGGCTCCAGCTTAGTTTCTGAGAATGAACATCAGTTAGGAAAGAGAGGCTGACCAGATGCCTGCTCATATCTCAGCAACCTGCACCTGCAGACCCACTTCCAGCCATGCGCTATGCCACATTTCCCAGTATCCCTTGTAGCTGGGGTGGTTACATGGCTACATTTGCTGGGCAGGCCTTGTGAACTGAGGATTGAGGAGATATTGCCAATCCAAGTTCATAAAATCCCTTCAATACACCTGCAAGCTCTTGTCTGTTCTCCTGCCACTCCAAGGATAACTTTGGAAGCTATGCCAATCTGGGTCGCTGTTAGATTCCAGCATGGGACACCCCTCCACCACCACCTCATGTTCAATCATCCTGTAGTGCTCTGAGAGCAAGAAATAAACTTCTTTTTGATTCACTCTTGATATGTTTGGGGCAAATATTTGGGTTTTTTTTTTTTTTTTGATCTCTACATAGTGAGTTCCAGGTCAACTGGGGCTGCAAGGGGACCCTGTCTCAAAAAGCCAAAAAAAAAAAAAAAAAAGATCCACGTTCAAGAGATCTGGGTTAAGAGCACTGTCTCTTCTTGCAGAGGATCCAGGTTCAATTCCCAGCATCTACATGGCAGCTAACAACAATCTGTAACTCCCGTTCCATCTCAGAAACGTCTCTATTCGAAAGTCATAACGACAATCTCTTTTCCTATTCCTCTTATTGTTTAATAATTAGTCTTGCAAACCATCCGGGATAAATTTTTTGTGCAGGGTATGAGGTAGAGGGGGGAGTCAAACAGTTTCTGTGAACATACAAATAACTCAGCAGCACTTAAGAAACGCTGTCCCTCTCCACTTTGCTGTACGCCCCCGTCAGATCTGGTCACTCTGTTCTGTTCCATTGGCTAATCTTCATCTTTATACCAATACCAAATCCACTTAATTGCCATACCTTCCTTCTCGGTATCTGCTACAGCAGTTCCCCCTTATCTGTGCTTTTTACTTTTTTTTTTTTTGGTATTAGGACTTGAATTCAGGACCTTGGCCACCCTATGCAAGCACTACACCACAGAGCTGCACCCCAAGCCCCACATGTTCTCCTTTCTGAGCCTTCTGCCTCCATGTTTTCTTATCACATTAATTAGGATTTCACCTATACACCTGAAAGTCATGTTGAAGATGACTGATTTTTTTTTTTTTTTTGGTCTTTTTGAGACAGGGTCTCCCTGCAGCCCCAGCTGTCCTGGAATTCACTATGTAGACCTGGCTGGCCTGGAATTCACTATGTAGACCAGGCTGGCCTTGAACTCACAGAGATCCGCCTGCCTCTGCCTCCCGAGTGCTGGGATTAAAGGCGTGCACCACCACGCCTGGTAAGATGACTGATTTTTATCTTGATCCTGATATCCAAAGGAAGGCTTTTACAGTTTGGGGGTTTTTTGTTTTGCTTTTGTTTTTTGTTTTGTTGTTGTCGCTGTTTTGTCTTTGCTTATTTTTAACCAGGGTCTCACTGCATAGTACTGGCTGGCCTTGAACTCACAGAGATCCGCCTGCCTCCCGAGTGTAACTGACTTTTATGGCTTGCCATTCATTAAGCATGATGCTTTTCTTAGTTTATTTGGGAGAGTGTGTTTGAGAAGTGATGCATAATTTTTAATGTCAAAATGTTTAATAAGGGCTGGAGAGATGGTTCAGTGGTTAAAAGCACCGGCTGCTCTGACAGAGGACCCAGGTTTGGTTCCCAGCACCTACCTACACGGTGGCTAACAACCTTCCTTAACTCCAGTTCCAGGGGATTCAACCTCTCTTCTGACTTCTGTGGGCTCTGCACGACATGAGTGTACTTACACATATGCAGGCATAACACTCATACACACAAAATAAAAATAATAAATAAAATATTTTTTAAAAACTGTGGTAGAGGGTGGGAAGGATAATTAAAAATGTTTACTTGACATTGTCTTGTCAAATAATTATCTATACTGTGGAAGTTTAAGCCACATCTTATCAGATTAAGAAAGTTTTCTTCCATTACTGTTTGCTGACAGTTTTTATTATGAGTGAATGTTGTCAGATTTTATCAGATGTGTTTCTACCTCTATTGAGATGGCCAGTTTGCTTTCTCTTTTTATTCTGTTAGTGTGGAGAATTGCATTGCTTGTTTTCCTAACATTCAACCCATCTTTACATTCTTGGAACAAGCTCCAGTTAGTGGTAAGGATCTTTTCCCTGTCCCTAGATTTGGTTTTCTCAGGTTTGTCTGGGAGTATTACATCTCTGATTTGAAATCACCTTGGCTTTCCCATCTTAAAATGTATCAGATTTTGTTCTCAAAGTTACGCTAGCCTCATTAAAGACCTTGGGCAATGCTTCCTCTTTCTTTTCTCTGAAACAGTCTTCTGTAATTTTCTCCTGATGTGTTTGCAAGAACTCACTGGAGGAGCCTTGTGGGCCTGGAGTTGTTTATTTTGTCCTTCCCGGAACTTGCTGTTTTAATTGGCACTGATTATTTATGAGTGAGGTTGAGTAATGTCTCTCAAGTTATTTTGTAAGGGCCATTGAAGTGCTCTGGACAAATGCATCATGTCCCTGTGAACATTTCTAATGGTCAAGTGAGTCATGTTCCTGCAAGGAGGTCTAATGGAGTTTTGTCTTTAGTTACAAATACTTAAGTATTTGGGGCTGGAGAGATGGCTCAGCAGTTAAGAACACTGGTTGTTCTTGCAGAAGACCTGGGTTCGAATCCCAGCACCCGCATGGCAGCTAACAACTGTCCGTAACTCCCATTCCAGGGGCTCCAACAGCCTCTCTGTCCTTCGCAGGCATTGCACGACACGGGTGCACTTACCTACATGCAGGCATAACACTCATACACATAAAAAAAGAATATGTAAGTATTTAAATATTAAAGAAACTGGCTTCACATCATATTATGGTTGAAATTTTTTCTAAGTTTTTCATAGTTTGCTTAAGGCATTTTTTTCCACATTAACTTAAAAAATTTAAATAAAAAATTAATTTTAATCAGTTTTCTTATTCTAGGCATATAATTATCTAAGATAGTTTGGGGGGGCTTTGTTGTTTGGGGAGGGTTTGTTGTGTTTTGGGGGGTATTTCTTGTGGTTTTTTTTTGAGGCAGGGTCTCATTGTCCAGTCCTGACTGGCCTGGTACGCTATGTAGACCAGGCTGACCTTGAATTCATAGAGATCCACCTACCTCTGCCTTCTGAGTGGTGAGGTATCAGTACACCCAGCAATAATTTTATTTTTTCCTTTTTGTTTTAGTCTGTGTGTGTGGCTTCACTTTTAGATTTTAAATTGTCTTCTTTATTGACATATATTAATTATACAAATTAAAGGATTTGATTACAAGGGTTTAGTTTTTTTATTTTTCATTAAATTTTATTTATTTGGAGCAGGGGGTATGCCATGATGTGCATGTTGTTAGAAATATGTTCAAGATCATAAAGGAAGAGCCCATATCACTCCAATTAAAGCATCTTCACAAGGCAAACCTTTACTCCTTTAAAAAAATTTTTTTTAATTTTATGTGTTTGAATGTATTGCTTGCATGTATGTAAGTGTGTCTGTGAAGGCATTTCCAGAGATTAGCTGAAGGGAAAAAAAATTGTCCTGGATATGGGTCCCTCCATCAGGGATCATTGTAAATTAGGTAAAAAAGGAAAGACAGAAAGCCAGCTGAGCACTATGATCTTCTTCCTGTGCTTCCTGGTCCACTCAGACATGAGTGGTAGGTAGCCTCACACTCTTGCCACCACAGCTGAGAGTGCTCCTCTTACTGTATATTCTTTCTTTTTAAAATATTTTTTTATTTTATGTCTATGAGTGTTACATCTGCATGATATAAATGCACCTGTGTTGTGCAGTGCCCAAAGAAGTCAAAAGAGGGAGTCGTATTCCCTGGAACTAGAGTTATGGATGGTTGTTGGCCATGATGTGGATGCTGGGAATTGAACCCAAGTCCTCTGCAAGAGCAGCCAGTGCTCTTAACCCCTAAGCTACCTCTCCAGTCCCCAGACCTTTACTGCTGATCAGAAGGGTACACTACTCACAACAGAGAGCTGGAGAAGCAAGCACACAGAATAGGGGACATGACAAGATTTTACCCTAACCCTAACACGATAGTACTGTGTCTTTTCCCCCATTGACTGGGGTCCGATCTCAGTGTCTTTCCCAGTTGGTTAAGATCCATGCAAAGGAAGAAAAGGGGAATGGGGCGTTTGACCAAAGAGGGGGAAGGGCTCAGCCTTACCCCCACTCCCAGGCCAGCAATTCTTAGAATGCACCAGGACTCTTCCTTCTTTGGTAACCAAAAATTTGATAGGATAGGTGTTAAGGTGATTAGTAGATTCTTCCCTTGTCATAACTCAAGAGTTTTTGTAGGGTAGGGAGGAAGTGAACATTAGAATTCCTTGTGAAACATCTTAATAGTGTTTGAAAGAAAAGACTCATATTTGATGTTTCTTACAGTGTTGGGGTCAGAGAACTTATGGTAGTCAGTTCTCCCCTTCCACCATGTGAGTCCTGGGAATTGAACTCTGGTTGTCGGTCTTGGTGGCAAGCTCTTTTTACCCACTGAGCCATCTCATTGGCCCTGGTTGTTTTTTGGGGGGGAAGGGGTGAGGGGTTATTTGTTTCATTGTTGTTATTTTGTTTTCTATTCTTTCTTTCTGAGTACTAAGGGTAGAACCTGGGGCTTTCACTTATACTAGGTGAGTACTGTACCACCAAACTACACCCAGCCCTCATATTTTATTCTTTTTTGTTTTTTCCTGGCTTTTGAATCAGGATTCTACTTGGCCCTACCAGGCCTGGCACTTGCTATGTAGCCCAGGCTGGCCTTGAACTTTTAGCAGTCCTCCTGTTTCAGGCTCCTTAGTGCTAGGATTACAGTTATGTGATACCACACCCAGGTTTATTTTTTTTTTAATTGCATGTATTTATTTTTGTGTTTGTGGCAGGGATGGGGGGGGCGTAGGGGTGGTGGCTACCTTCATGTGAAGTCAGAGGACAACTTTCTAAGTTCTCTCCTTCTACCTTGTAGGTCCTAGAGATGAAACTCAGGCCCCAGGCTTGACTTGACAAGTGCCTTTACCCACTCATCCATCGCTTCAGCTGTTATGTTTTATTATTAGCTCTTTGGTCCAGCTGGAATTTATTTTAATGTAAGGCAAAAGTGAAGGCGGGTAGAGAGATCAAAGGAAGGAAGGAAAGAAGGAAAAAAGAAAAAAGAAAAGAAAGGTTGGTAGAAACGAGGGAGGGAGGGAGTAAATAAAGGAAGAATAGGTCTACTGTTTTCCCAGCTTGATAACCACTTGTCCATCCATGCCAACTGTTAACAAGTCACCTCTTTCCTACAGCTCCGAAGGACACTTTTAGCATAGACAACACCC